AGTACCTTCAGACAACATGTTTTCCAGGCAGCTTCTCCATCACACTCAGAGCTTTCTGCTGGCAAAGCCTCTCTGCCCATCCTCAGACTCCTCATTAACTAGAGGAGCTCTATTAACAAACCCCACAGTGCTGGTCCCTGCTCACAAGCCCGCTTTTGCTGTTCAAAACTGCTGTGCACTTCCTGTGTTACCTACTTCTACATACAGACATCACCCTGAAACTTCACTGCATAAAACTGGGAGGTTGCTCCTTTCCTGGAGCAGTGGCCAGGAGTTAAAGCCAAACAAGAAGGCAGAAAGGAAGCTCACTTCCCAACATCTCTGCTGGAGGTGAACTGGGGAGGAAAACACTCATTCCTCCCTAAAGCAGAGTTGGGCTCTATGCCTGGGCTGCCTGGTGTCCCAGAGTGAAAACAGCAAAACCAAGCCAGCAAAATACCTACCGCAAGCAAGTGCTTGGGTAGAGGACAACTGCAAGCATGTGCTCATATCCCCTTAGCTTAAATTTAACATGAAGCCTATGCTTAGATGTTCTATGAGACAGGAATGGAGTGTGGGTTCACCCGTGTCCTCCACAGAGCCTTACTTGTCAATCCTGTCCCTGGTGAGGCTGTAACGAGGGCACTAAGGACTGAGGGAGCCTCTAAACAGAACAGTCCTGCTTGAGACAGCCCCCAAAATATATTCAAACACATGAAAACCTAACAAAAGCCCAGCGAGGAGCGAGGTCCTGAATACATTATAAATAGTAGCAAAAAGCATACACATTTATTAGCATCTCCCAACCATTAATGCGTGTCCTTGCCAGAAAGACACCCCTGAAGGCAGCACATTCTGCATTCTCCTTCTCTAATTCTAAATTCAAGTGTAATGCCAAAGCCTCCGAATGCCAAATCTGACTGGTCTCTCAAGCAGAAATCTAAATTCTACAGATTGCTCTGTCTGAACTGAATTCCTCGGACACAACGGAAGGAAGAGGGGGCTGGAATAAGGCAGTATCATTGATATTCGGAAAGGGCTTTGTAAAAACTCTTCCAGACAGCTCGTGTGGCCTGGCTGGGGGGGAGGAAGGTTGTTCCTCCAGGGAATGCACAGAGAAACAAACTCACCCTGACTCCATCTAAGCAGATTACTTTGGAAAAGACAGAAATCTTATCCAAAAGGTATGGCAACAACTTCCTGCCCTTGGGGAGCGGTTGTCTGTAACCACAGCCCTCAAAAGCATCTCTATCCATAGGTATCACAGAACTACGTGGAATTACTGAATCCAGTAATTTCTGTGTACTTTCGGGGGAGATGTTTTGCAGGAGTTGGAAGTCTCTCTTCCCTCCTGGTGCACGAAGCTCACAGGCAGGTCTGAGCCCTCTCTGCCTGAGGGTTGGCACTGGTACCTGGAACACAAGGACTCATGCGCACAACTCTTCCTGGGAAACCAACCCTGGAGCACACAGTAGCTGTATGACACTTCCATTTCCTAAGTAGGACATCATTTGGGTAAAAGACAAGAGTCAAGAGCACCATTAACAGATGTTTTCCCCATCTCCAGGGCTGCCTGGGTAAGTGGAGACTCTGCTGAGCTGTTTGCATGTTCAAGGCACTTCTGGAACGCAGCATAGAAAGTTTTAGGTTTAAATCAAGGAAGAACGACGACGAGAACTGTGGACCACAGTAATAAAACCAGCAAAATGCTACCAGCTACCCACTGCTTGCTCCTTGGCAATATAAAAAAGTGTAACATCAGAGATCCAGTGTACAAATACAAAAAATTGTGCATAATAAATGTACTATAATACTGTACATACAGCATAAACCCTTCACTGAGAACGATTAAATATAAGTACTTGTCTCCTGACTTGGAAGACAGAAGAATAAAGTTCTGTAATCCTAGAATATGCATTTAACCCCATTGTGAGAGGTTGAATCACAAGCCAACGGCATCCCTGAAATTAAACACAGTCAAATAGTTACTTAATGGAAGCCATTATTCAAGGGCTTGCTGGTTATGATAAACTAGGAGAAAAAGCACAGTATCTAAACTCAGCCAACATTAAATCCAGACAGAGCTCTTCCCATCTCCTGACTTGCTACTGGCACTGCTTTTGTTTGAGCCCGCTTTGGATTTCTTCTCTCTGGAACTGCTGGGGTTGTTTTGGTTGTTGTAAGCCTGGATCGCGAGGTCCAGGCGCTCCTGAGCCACTTTGATTTCCCTCTGCAGGTTTTCCAGGTCGGCAGGGATGTTTTCTTCATTGCTTCCATACTGCTGTTCCTGAGCTATATTGGCTTTGTTCTGTTTGTAGGCCATTTTGGCATTGGTCAGTTCAGTGTATTGCATTTGCTCTGGCTTGACCGCGATGTTATAGCCAGGAGGAGCAGATGGTGTATTCCAAGTAAAAGGGTAGTTATAAGTACCAGAGTCTTCCAGCTCTTTCCTCTTGTTATTCAATGTGTCCCGGATAGTGCCAAATCCCAAATGGAGCATCTCCCAGACATTCAAAAGTAAACACATGCAGCTCACCCCGTACATTATAAGCAGGAAAATGGTCTTTTCAGTTGGCCTGGAAATGAAGCAATCGATCTTGTGCGGGCACGGCGTCCTGCTGCACACAAACACGGGGCTCACCTCGAAGCCATACAAGAAATACTGACCCACCAGGAAGCCAATTTCAAACATGGTCCTCGCCAGGAGCTGCAGGACATAAATTCTCATGAGCCCATCCTCCCGGATGCGCCGCCTGCCGTCGTGCTTGGCTTTGCCTGGCGTCTGCTGCTCTTTATTCTCCCGTTCGCTTTCCAGCTCGATTTCTGGGTACATCATGGGGTCCTCCTCGTGGTCCTCCTCTGTTTCCTCTAAGCCACGGTGTTGTTTCCAGCGCATGGAAAAGCTTTTGCTTCTGATTCTTCTGTCGGCTTCGCTGTGTTCCACCATCCGGGCGATTTTATGGATAGCGTAGCCCAAGTACATGACGGACGGAGTGGCAACGAGGATGATCTGGAAGACCCAAAACCTCACGTGTGAAAGAGGAGCAAAAGCATCGTAACAAACGTTCTCACAGCCAGGCTGCTCCGTGTTGCACACAAACTTGCTCTGTTCATCGTAATAAATGGACTCTCCTCCCACAGCAGTCAGTACAATCCGAAATACAATCAGCACTGACAGCCAGATTTTGCCGACAAAGGTTGAGTGGTTGTGGATCTCCTCTAACAGACGAGTCAGGAAACTCCAACTCATGGTGGTCAAGTAATTTTATCTAAAAAACAAATAACACCCCCCCCAAATATTTAGAAGTTTATCAGCTTAAGCCTAAACAATGCAAACATTCAACCAAGAGAGGCAGAACCCCCTAGAACTGTACACCCACTGTGCCTGGAGCATTACCTGTTATCGGGAACCTCCAGCTGCCAGAAGCTGCTTGAAGACCCTACGCCTCCTCCACAGGCTTTTGAGAAGTCTGCTACAATAAAAAAAGGAGCAGTTAACTGTCATTTCACAAACCAAAGGGGCTCCCAAAGCTAATCCCAAGCTGAAGAGAAAGTCAAATGCTAATAAAAACATTTACACTTGAAGCTGAAGTCTCCAAAACACAGCGGATGGAAAGTTAAGCTCTGAAACTCTCTGGGTCCTGCTGGCTCTGTCCCGCTGCTAACAGAAGGATTTATACTAACTGCAGGAAGGTGGCCAAGCCTCGTCAGAGCCTGAGCTAATGATCTCAGCCTCAAGCACAGCCCACGGAGAGAAACTGTCCTCTCCACGGGGCAATGCCAACCTGTCTTGAGACAGAAACGGATGGCCCAGCCCAAACCTGAGGCGTGCAACTGCTGTTATCTTTGCTCTAAGGCAAGACAACCTCAGTGACCCGAGCAGTGCTACCCTGCAGGCCTTGCCTAGACAAGGGTCCAACCTAAGGAACATCACCTGCTCTAGTGGAAGGTGTCCCTGCCCATGGCAGGGGGTTGGAACTGGATGAGCTTTAAGGTCCCTTCAACCCAAACCATTTCATGAGTCTATGATCTAACTTCTAACCTGCTGCTGGAACTGTTCTATGGATTTGGGTTCAGTCCCTTAGGGAGGCTAAAAATCACCCTCCCAGGGCCAGGAAAGACTTCTGTATGTATTTTCTTGTGGCTTTTGGGAGAGTATAAGGAAAACCCAGTTAAAACAATTATCTGTCAAAAGTTTCAGAACAGATGCTAGACAGAAATCAATAGAAATCTGCAATCCTGACACTAGAAAAACGATCAGTGGAAACTCAGGGCTGGCAAAACTGCAGTGTAACACTGAACAAAACCTAGTAATGTTACAGGCCCAACTGTGGCTTTAAGGAGTGAAACTGGTGAAATACTGCATACAGGAAGAACTGTTTGACCTTCTAGCATAGGGTATAAGACATCTTTCAGTCACAGACTGGTCTGGGTTGGAAGAGACCTTAAAGCTCATCCAGTTTCAACCCCTGCCACAGGCAGGGACACCTTCCACTAGAGCAGGTTGTACCCTGTGCCAGCGCCCAGAGAAGAGTATTTGCAACTATTCAACTTCTTCCATATACCTACAGAGTTGTTCAGAGGCAAAATAATGACATTTGAGGGGACACAATCAATCCAGAATTAAAGGATATAAATGTGATCCCCCTTCTGGTGAAATTCAATGTTTCACTGAAAAGGCAGCAGCTCTGGATGGGCTGTGTGAGACATTTGATTTATTACTCCATGTCAGTGCGAGAAAAAAATAGCACAAGAGAGTATTAAAAAAGACCATATTAAGTGTATCAAAAGTAACAAAGGTCTTGACAAATGATTCCCACATTAGAACCGAGATCAACTGCATGTAACTGCAGCAAGCTCTTGCAAAGGCCAGGAACAGGCCTGGCAACTTGGCTGCAGCTTCCCCAGACTGCACCAGGACGTGGTTGCTTGCATGCTTGCTTGCATGGCAAGTTTGCAGGCTCACAAAGGTGCGAGTTACCAGTGATGCAGAACACAGGTAGCTTGAGAGGCTGAGTCCACTGAAACAGAACTATGGCTTTAACCAAGCTCAGTGCAGACATGCAGCTAAGGAAAAGAACAGCAGTCTTTTCTCTAAAGGACAGAGCAGTTCCTCTGGCCATCAGTTAATAGGGGAGGGAGTGAGGGTCCTCATGGATGAGCATCCCAGCGAGAGCTGGTGAGGCAGCAGAGATGATGAATGCAACCCTTGGCTGTGGCATGTGCAAACAGGAGCAAGGAGGGTGATCTTACCTCCTGGTTAGCAAGACAGCACTCAATGCCTGTGTCTGCATCCTTCAGAAGTTGCTTAAACATCAGAGAGTGAGTCTACCAGCCTCAAAACCAGCTGAAGAATGGGGAAGAGCCTAGAAGTGAAAGATTTAGAGTTTAATTTATTTAGCTGACAAATATGGGAAGAAAATGATGACCAGTGAGTCAATTTATCTGGCGGCTGTCAGCTGGGCATGCCTCAATCCAGCTGTTTACAATCACAGCTCTTCTCCCTACATAAACCATTATGCCATAGACAGAACTGGATGAAATAACACATTCTTAACAGGAAAAAAGACCAGAGGGTTCCAGCCCCGTACAGCACCTTACTGCAAGTGGCTTCATGCTCTGAACCCCATTTCAGAAAGACCCCAAGTGCAGCTCTGCAGCCCCGAGTTCTGCACTAGTGGGATGAGAGACTGTGTTTCACTCCCACATTCTGCATTTCCCAGCACACACTCGGATTAGGAGTTAAAATGGGTGGTAGAGTCAGGGGTACTCCATGTGGCCAAAGAGTCTTCAATCCTCTGAACAGAAAAGGCAAGAGAAACCCCCGTCTGCAACTGGGGGTTACAGAGGTAAGAGCCACAACACTCCTGTTCACAGACACTGACAGGACACACATGTTGCTGGCTGACGTGCCCTGATTCACCAGGGAACAACCCACATGAGTTTCAGAAGGGGCTCGTTTGCACTCACTGAAAAACTTCGAGCCAAACTCTTCTAAAATTAAACCACCAATTACATTTGAAATGAATGAAATCCCGTTGCCAGTGTAAATCCGGATAAAATCAGGAACTAGCCTTTACATTTCCAAACACTGTCAACATTTATTCATCAGTAGGTAGCAACAGAGAAGTGAAATCAATGCGGGTTTCGATACCAGACGGGACACTGAATCTTTTTTACCTCAGTATCTCACAAATCCTCTCAAGGTCTTTATCAGCTCTTCACAGTGTGTTTTCTATCTGCAGAGCACATCTGTGGTTTGCTCATATTGTACCACACCAGCTACAAAGAGGAAGCTGTGGTCACAGCTCGGCTCCCTTGGCCGTGGCACCCACTGCAGGGCACAGCACATCTGGCCCTGGTTTGGGAGAAAGACTGGGATCCATGTCCTGGATTCCACCCGTTACATAAATGAGCAGCATGACAAACCTGCACACGACACTGACCACACACTTGTACATCTGGGTTAACCACAGCCTTCAGACGCAGACGGCGGCGTTATCAGATGCGTGCTTAATAACCAAGACATCTGCTGATTCCAGAGCGGTGGCTGCGGAGATGTGAAGTGGAAGAGCTCGGATCCTCTTCAACAAGAAAGTGTCACTTATTCTAAATTTAGCTTTGGCCGGAGCAGAGCTGCTGCCACAAATATGGGAGAATCCAGCAGCAGCAAAGACCCTCCTTGTCTTTAAGAAAACATTTTAGTTCAAGCAAAATGACCTGTCATTAAACCTTTCTCTTACTGGAAATGCTCAAGCCATCTAAATTGAATGGAATATGAAAGCAAGAATTGGCTTATGGCATTTGAAACGGTGGAATCCTTCATTTCGTGAGATCAGCCAAGGTTGGAGGCTGCAGGTTTCTGCCTTCACAACACATGAACTGCAGGACCCAGCTATACTGCAGTAACCTTCACCTAACGTACACTTGGTGTCTCCCAGATTTGCTGTTCTGGCAACATTTAACTCAATAATTTTCCGTTGTTTGAAATCAGTCTATGGACACTGACACGTATGTGAAAAAGGAAAAATGTCAGCAATTTCAGCTAATTTAAGTGATGCCAGAATGAGCATTTGAGAGAGACTTTCATTCCTTGTCTTTGTCATAAGTTCATTCCCACCCTTCCAGCGGCAGAGGCTCCATGGAGCCAGCAGGACATACCATGGCGAGAACATGACACTTCCCTGACAGCAAGCTGGCTCCTGCAGAGGATGAAGTTTTGCAGACACTGAGATCCAGAAAGAACAAGGAGGAATTTGGAGCAGGTACATGGAAAAAAACAAGGGGAAAAAAATCAGTTTTCACAGAGATTCACTGCAGGAAATCACTGGCGTTATTTTAACACAGCTATTGCTCACACACAGACAGCGATCGGCCTCTTGTGTGTGCAGCCTCCCCTCTCCAGCCCATGGGTGGCTTTGAAAATCGATTTAAACCTGGGATTAATTTCATCTCCTTCCAGCTTTCTCACCTCACTGCGATGTTCTCATCTGTGATGGCTTCTCACCAGTCAGGGAGGGAAGAACTGCCCCCCCGGAGGAGCAGTTCACTGTAGCAACTCTAAAATCCTGCCGTCGGATGAGACAGCTGAGGTGAGGCAGGGACGGACAGAGGAAGCATGGAGGAAGCTGGAACCACGGTTACTGTGGTGGAACACCCCATCCCCCTGACACACACAGCACCCATCAGGCGGTGCAGCATGTAACAGACATTCTGAGAACAGCCTCACTCTTGGCTAATGCCAAACACCTTTAGAATGATGACCTGGCCTTGTCTCAGCACAAACTGGATCCCACGGCCACATCCTTACACAGACTGAACACCCTCCTGGTACAAACTGGATTCCTTTTGCTCCATCCTAGTACAAACTGGCAGCTGTAGAGCAGGAGGGCAGCAGGAAGCATGCTGATGTTTGGATTAACATCAGGAAGTCCTGCCCGAGGAGCTGGAGTTGGTCTCAATGATTCTTCCCTTCGAGCTCAAGATCTTCCATGGTGCTATGATGCTTTTATGATTATCAGTACTCTTTTCATGTCATTTCATCACCAACAGCCAGTGGGAGTGAGTGCACCCCCAGCAAGTGTGTGGATGACACCAAGCTGAGGGGCAATCAATACACTGAAGGGAATAGGTGTTGTCCAGAAGGATCTTGACAGGCTGGAGGAGCGGGCCCATGTGAAACTCATGAAGTTCAACAAGGCCAAGTGCAAGGGTCTGCACCTGGGCTGGGCAATCCCAAACATCAAGGATGGGATGGGAGAGC